GAACAACACACTCTCCATCGCAGACTAGTCAGAAAGTATGATCGAAGCATCCATAAGCAGTGATGTGGAAGATGTCACCACCATATCACGGGACCGCATAGTCACAGAAACCCAAAAGGACAGCATACCCTCAGCCCTACTCAGTGCCCTTACATCATCAAATGATCAAGAATGGGAAGACAGGCCAGATTTGAGCGAGTACCCGAGATATCGCGAGTCTCTATGTCTTGGATGGTGTCATTCTCTGCAAAGATAGAGTAGTCATACCATCGTCTCTAAGGAAGACCATTACTGAAAGCCTTCACGCTGCTTACCAAGGAGTCTCATCAATAGAGATAAGAGCTCAGTCCAATGTACTCTGGCCAGAATGACCAAGGACATACAGCATGTGCGAGCCAGGTGCACGGATTGTAACAAGAATGCACCATCTCAAGCCCAACTTCCTTCAAACCCTGCTCCCCCAACCCCATTCGAGAAAGTCTTTGCAGACGTCTTTGACTATAGAAGCCACCAGAGCTGTTAAAGTACTTTTAAAAAGGTACTTAAGTACAAATATAAGTACAATCTAAAATATGTACTTAAGTACAGTAAAAGTACTTTCCTGTAAAATGTACTTGAGTACAAGTACTTTTTAAAAAGGTACTTATGAGTACATTTTGAGTACTTTCTGCTAATATGCTAAAACACTTCAGTGCTAATGCAAAACATCATATTGAATAACATATCTAGTATATTTGACAAATTCGGCCATTTATTACTAATAATGTAAACAGTATACAAAGAATTTGAATATACGCACTGAACGTAGGTGGAAATGGTCCATGAAATTGAAAAAAACCCCCAGCAAACAAACAGACGAAACTAGTGAGTAAGTGATATTATGAATAGAATTTGTTTGAGCAAGACAATATGATCAAATGTAAGTCAGTCCTAGAGGTCGGAAAGTAGGAAAAGTATCAAAATTGGAAAATGTAGAGACAAAGTTGATCTAAGAAAATAAAAAATTGATGAAAATGACCAGCAAAAAAAAAGTGCTTTGAATTCTTCTTTAACAAATCTTCAAGGAATCAAGGTAGCCTTAAGCACATACCACAAAAAAAAAGGAAAAAAGAAATTTAGGTAGCCTAAAAAATTGTTAGATTGATTTACATTGAGGACTCAGTTTCAGTTTCAATTGATTATAATAGTGGTAAGACAGAGTTTGGTCACACTGTGTAGTCCACGGCGCCCACGGCAAACCAAAATAGGCCTACATGTAATTTCCTAGAGTCTAGTAAGTGTAGTGTAACCAAAAATTCTCTACTACAGTAGTCTCCACCTAAGATCCCAGTGCTCGGGAGCAAGGGAAATATGGGATCTTAGCCCGACGAAGCTAAGGAAGAATCTACAGTGACCCAAGAACTGACGTGACCCCTGGGTAGGTTTATGACATATGGCGAGCAAAGAGTGGTCATCCTTGATGACCAATCACAGTAGCATGGTGGCATGAGGCAAGCCATAATATTATACCGTACACTCATTAGCATATCGTCTCGAGATCTTTATCTTCGTTTATCCAGTTGCCCCTCCCCTTTACCTGTCCAAAAATTGTAGCCTTCCATCTCTGATTGAGTCCCCCCGCCTTTGTCGTTACGTATTATTACGCTGTGACCACACCAATTAAAATTCAGGCTGTCTCGCAATTTCGGGAATAGAGAAAAACTGCCTTCAACTTCAATGGTCAGGGAAGAGTTCACAGTTCGATGTGATCCTGCCTGGAGCGAATTTGTAGGCCCAACCCACCCAGCGAGGGATGAAAGTTCAGGTGGCGAGCTCAGATGCGAGTGCGATGTTTGGGGAAAAGAAACGCCCATCGGTCAGTTCACACCTCGGTGTGATCCCGTCTGGGGATCATTGTACCGTTTCATGGAGTTTTACAGCGCATGTGATCACTGTCACAAGAGTGGCTGATCTTTGACGCGACGGGCAGTTCTTTAATCTCAACTTTTAACTCTTGGTTGATCGGCTGTGCTCGCCCGGGTGTTTGTTCCGTAAATTATGATCGGAAATGTCGGCACTTATTCTTTCATTAAGCTTCAAAAGTACTCAAAATGTACTTGAAAAGTACTCAAAAGTACTTTTATAAAAAGTATCGGAGTACAGTAAAAGTACTGATTCTCAAAATGTACCGGAGGACAGTAAAAGTACCGAAAATTGTAACGTAAGTACAAGTACTGGAGTACTTGTACTCCGTTACAACCAGCTCTGGAAGCCACCACTATCTGGTGATCGGTGACCGTCTGTCTGGGTGGCCCGAGGTTTATATTTATTCCACCCCTACAGGAAGTGCCCATGCTGGGGCAAGAGGCCTTATAGCATGTCTACAAAAATTCTTCGCCACATTTGAGGTACCAGAGGAATTGTCATCAGACACCGACCCTGAATTCACTGCCAGCCAGACGAAGGATTTCCTGTCCACATGGGGGGTACACCATAGCAAATCGTCTGCATACCACCCCCAATCCAATGTGCGTGCTGAAGTAGCGGTCAAATCAGCCATGCACTTACTCAGATCCAACATCAATCCCCTCAGGAAGCCTCGACATCGACATGAAAGCCCTTCTGCAACTTAGGAACATCGCAGACCCTGATTGCAAGCTATCACCTGCTGAGATTGTCTCTGGGCGTCCTATCAGAGACAAATGTGTCATGACGAGGTGGAATCAGGCGCACGTCAAATTAGGGGCATATGGAGTTATTGATATCATCTTAAAGCCTGTTCCTTTGCCAAGCTTTTGATGGAAAAAATATCCATTTAACATATATACAAGTCAAGATATTGGCAATTGAAAGAATGGGGGTCCCCTGGTTTCAAAGATGAATCTAGCGAGAAAATGGCCGGCAAAGTTGTGTTTTTTTCCTTAGTTTGAGAGTCCGTGGAAATTAAAAATTTACATCTTTTATGTCTTTAATCAAAGTTTTTCAGTAAAATCCACACAGAAGTGTGTTCTTTAACGGGCATGAAAGGTATGAAGCCAAAAAATAAAAATTCGATAAAAATTCCCAAACCTGCGAAAAAATGCCAGTTTCTTCACTTTCATTATTTTGACGAGTGCCTGATTTCACCACTTGCCTCACATAATAATTCTCTTTTGTGAAAAGGCTTGAAAAATTCAGTAGTGAAGCCATACAAGCCACTTGGAGAGAAGCATGGGCAGCCAAGGAAACTGCGCTACAGACAAAGTTCGTAAAGACATCAGAGAAGCTAAACGAGCACGCAAGAAACTTGAGCAAGATGTACATGGGTAACAGATGTTTCTTCCAGGACCAGACTGGCAATAGTCCTAAAAGATGGGACCGAACAGGCTTGGTTGTTGAAACCGGCCCCAATGACCAATACATAGTCAATAAATGACAGCTCAGGACGGCTGACGTCAAGAAACCGGCGCTTTCCTCGCCAGTTCCAGCCTGCCACTTTGACGCTGCGACTGGCACGTAACGGCCTAAATGACTTTGAAATTACTCCGCCTGCGGAGGAGGAGATCCATACGAGACATGAGTATGCGACTGAGCCGGTCAATGAGGAGCAAAGGATAGCCTCTAGTTCATGTTCTTCGTGCTAGTTGCATCTGTACGTTATGTGATGTACCCCATGTTATTTCATGACACATCATACTGATATCATTCATTGTCTCTGTAAATCTATGTGTTCACAGATGAAATCATCATCTGCAGTTTATAATAAAAAATAAAAGGTTAATCAATTAATTACACAGAGAAGTCTTTCTTCAATGTGTAAAGGAAGTAACAAGCTGAAAAGGATCAACTGCTGAAGGAATGCAAGAAGGACAAATTTGTTTGCCCTAGGCTTTGAGCGATTGCTCTCGTGTACACGTACATACAGAGTGATCCAAAACAAACAACTGTACAACTTTTTTTCTAAATATCTCGCACAAAATTTGTACTAGAATGTAGTAATTTGGAATAGATATAATTCATTCAAAAGGAATTTGTTTGAAGTATAATTCACAAAGAAGAAACTTATTTTTGAAAACGGAAATAGATTTTATAAAAGCCATCTAAAAATGCAAAACGCACCAATTTAAAAGATCTTGTAAGGGAAGTTATGAAATGATTAGTTTGATTTTTTCCTTTCCTTTCATTTTAAAAATCTAAATTTTCCATCCCTGTAACCTTTAAACAATATTTCTTTTCTCCTACAGAGTTAAAAAATATTTTTTTAAATTCTGGAATATCGAGAACCAATGGTCCATATGTCCTCCTTTGAACTCGACATATTTTAACGTGTCGTTCCTAATGTTCAAAGTGGCCAAACACAAGGATCCACTCAACCATGAGTACTCAAAGCCACATACGCTGTACACCTTACAGTATGGATCTGTTTCTAGAGACAATAGAGGGAGGGGTGAGGTAGCCCAAATAGACAGCAATTGTGGAGTTGATATAACCTGAAAGGTGGATATTGGCTTTGCCAAGGAACCAAAATGTCATAAAGGAAATGGCCATGCTTTTCAAGACGATCGAGGAATCATGAACACATTGTTATCCTCTGATAGCAAACCGGAAAGTGGTACAGTCGTAGATGAAGATCTGCCCTGAGAATGCGGACAGTTGAGATGTAAGAAAGTTATTGCTGCAGAAATCGTCTACGGACAGACGTCTCGTGGAGCTCATCTACTGAATTCTGCACCCTGGTGACGCTTAAAGGGGTGCGAACAGTGTGTGTTTGACCTGAAATGGTCGTTTTGTCTGGGAATTTTTAATTCTGATTCTCTGCAGGTACTAACTAGGGGAACCATTTCCACCCTTGACATCAAAGGAGGCCTTAGGGGCACTTTAACATTATTTCCGTACCTTGTGAGAAACATACAAAATGAGTTGGTAATCTTAACCATGATCACAGCAGTCAAAGGGAACTTGAGAAAAACCATCTGCAAACTTCTGTTGGCCGGTTGGACTACTGTAGTAAGCAATATGGGTCAATCGTTGGGATTTTTAGATGTAGGCCTTATGCGAACTAGTGCGCCATGCTACAAAAACGGAGACATAGCTGAAAATGGGTTGTTTTGTTACACGCTGTGTAAAACAAAACTATTCTGTGGATTTTTCTAAAATGAATATCAGACAAATTCCTTTTGACTTCCAAATGTTGTGTACAAATTTGAAGCGCAAAAATTCAGTTTGGAGGAAAATATTTTTTTAAAAAGTTGTACAGTTTTTTTTGGTTTATCATCCTATGGTGGAGCCCCTGGCCCAGGGGAAAGAATAATGAAGAAGTTAGAAGAAAAAAAAAGAGGAAATGATACGCGCCAAAGGCTCTACCACACATATGGTTTAAAATTAGTTTTAGTGAGTTGAATGTTACACTTGGCTGACTGCTGGCACATGGTCATCAACCACTTCCTCCTCCTCCTCCTCGTCACGGTCACCGTTCTCCATGGACACTTCGTATCCTCCTTCCTGACCATTATGCACATTGTCATTTGCTTCTTCAAACACCTGAACAACCAGCTCCTTCTTCATATCGTCGCTCGAACCTTCTTCTACCACGGCCCCTGAATCCTCCAGAACAGACTCGGAGTTCTCCTCCAGCGTCATAGTCTCCGCACTCTGACCCGTCAGACGAATCCTCTGCTGGCACGAGGTGCAGTAGAAGACGTTCTGGCTGTCCGAGTGTCCGGCACAGGCGCGGTGCCACCAGGTGCGGCAGTTCTCGCACTGAAGCCAGTCTGCATCTCTGGCCGCCAGCTGCTGGCACTCGGGCCCACCCACACACAGGACGGTGGTCTCGCGGTCCATGTCGCGGAGCGTCACTGCCATGTAGTGGAGGTAGCCGGGGATGTGGGCTTCGGTCATCACCGCTGGGTGGACGCCACATACAAGGGCCTCTACGTTCTGAAAAACAGCGAAAATAAATAAATTTCAGATCAGTTCTCAATTTTTTTATCTCAAAGTGAAGTGTCTACTTCATATTCCATTCATATATATCATGTCAAAACAATTTGATCATTCACACTTTTTAACAGGGTTTAGTCTGTAAAAATTAGTAGTTAGCACTTTGCAAATTTATCATTAACTCAAATCAATTGGAAAACTGTTCGTGCAGAAAATAAATTACATGGTTTTCAAAGCTGAGCTCTCAGTCCTATACGAGGGTGGCTATCTTAAGGTTGCAGGTTATGGCCAGTCATCATACCTTCCACATTTCATACAGAACAGATCAGGATTAGCAAACCCCCCCCCCAAAAAAAAACCCCAATTATACAAAGCAGAATAAGCACCTACAGCACAAGAAAGTTGTGTAGGAATTTAATTATAGCACACCCAGCACAGTGTGACCACATGAGAACAAAGATTGTTATATAAATCATGGTCATTCTCTTTTTAAAAAAAATTCCTATACCTTTGGTTTTGTTTCGATGTTACATTTTTCAAGAAAATTTGACAGTTCGTCAATAGAAGACAAGCACTTCATGTGCTTAATTTTCACAGGACAAAATTATATTATTGCGTAAAAAGCTTTTCCAAGGACACAACGTCAGGGCTGAGGCTCAAACCCCTGAACCCTCAACCTCACGATTACAAGTCCAGTAGCCTAACTACAAGACTACCGACACCATGTACCTACCATCAACATGAGCAACCCTGACGTGTGATCTTCCATCTGCTTGCTGCAGTCTAGGACTCGAGATCTCCACATCGAGAGCATTTCCCCAGTGTGCACTGAGCGGATCTGCATGTATCTCCTGGGAACAGACCAGACAAGCATGATCTTTGAGGTAAAGGGAAGCACATCAGGCCACATCAACACTACAACAACAAAACTCACTCAGTGCTTGGGAAAAGTCAGGTCGATAGAAACAACAGATGGAGAGTGAGTGGCCACCAATCAGTGGCACTCTCTAAACCCTACCGAAAAGATAGAAAATGAAAAAGACAGGGGAAAAACCCCCCCTAAAAACAATGAAAAGTTATTACTGTAAAGCCTGTGAGAATCATTGCTATACTGCTGGACAAAAGTTGCAAGCTAGAAAAAAAACTCCCAAATCCCAATACAAATAAAAGCTTTTTAAAATGAAAAGTAGACGACTGCGGTATTCTATCCCCAAACAACAAGGAATTTTAACTAAATAGCTCATACTATATGATGGAACAGTTGAAATATATTTTAAAAATAGATAATGTACACAAATTTTTTCTAGATCTATCCCTAAAATCTGGGAAGTCAATTTACTTCTATTTCCAGCTACACACTTGGCAGTGCGAAGAAATCCTCGACAAATATATGTTCTAGAGTCATGGCCTAAAATGAGTCAGAACAGAAGCAGCTATAATTCAATACAAAAAGATAAAGATAACAGTAAGAGTAAATAGTTATATCAAAACATAGGAGCAGACCATATCCAAGAGCCCCTCAAACACCTGCTCAGCCCAAGCCATCATCATCATAAAATGCGACAAATGTCGGCAGTCATAGTTCTCCATTCATTCCTTTGCTCAGATGCTCTCAAAAAAAGCTACATTATCCTGATCTTTCCCGATTTTAGTTTTAGTAGAGGTTTTACGGCACTCACAACCAAGGGGTGGATGTCAACAGAGAAGTCCTTTCAGGGAATCAGACCTACTCTGCTCACCTCTCTAGCTTCAACAGAACAAAGTCTGCTTCGACTATCAAGGCACCCCGAAAATAGCGGGTCACAAGAGTGTGACAAACATACAAAAGAAGTAGAGGAAAATGACGATAGTACGGATTAGGAAAGAAAAAGCAGCAGTTCCCTGTTGTAGTTCAGGCACAGTTATGAGCATGACATTGTAGGATCAGCCCATTTACAATTCTATTGTGCATTAGAACGAGAAATGTCACTCCCTTCGGGAATGGCCTAAAGAAACTTCAGTCAGTGGCATCGGCCCGGGGGGTGGATCAAGGGGTGGATGTCAAAAGAGAAGTCCAGACGGGAAATCAGGCTTATCTAGCCTCAACAACACAAAGTCTGCTTTGACTATCAAGGCACCCCTGAAATAGCAGTTCACAAGAGAGAGACAAACATACAAAAGAAGTAGAGGAAAAAGATGATAATAAGGATGAGGAAAGAAAAGGCAGCAGTTCCCCCTATGTTGTTATGGCACAGTATGAGCATGACAGATAAATCAGCCCATTTACAATTCTACTGTGCATAACAACATGTTAATATCCCCCCTTTGGGAATGGCCTAAAGACACTTCAGTAAGTAGCACTCAGCCAGCACAAAATGAAACCATATACGCCAATACACATGAACTACAAAGTGGAACATACCTCCACTGTAACATATAGCCGTTGGCAGCGATGCTATATTTATCCTCTGTCCTTGGGTTCAACACACACACAGACTTATTCTGTACATCAGCCACAAGTGCCATCCAATAGGGTTTCTCCAGTTTCACACCCTGTCTCTCAGCTTCCGAGAACTCAGCACCGCAGTGAATAGGAAGGACTAAATACTCAAATGTCTTGAAATGAACCTTGGAAAAGCAGAAATATGAAAAAACAAAGTCATGACTCACACCCCATACGGATGGACAGGAAAAACAAAGCACAGATAGTAATCAGTATTATATCATATTTTGTTTTATATTTAGAACCAAAAAAAAAAAAAACTTTTAAGAAAAGCAGTACAACAAATCCTAAAAAGTGACACATACACACCCCAAAAAACCCCAACAAAACATTGAGACTGCGGTTAAGGTGTTCTTTACCCAAAACACACGCTCAGATCTGTGAATCAAAAGAGAAATGTTCATTCTCTAAAAAAGATTAAATATAACAGATGTATAGTAAAATAGTACCTTGAGTCAATGCATCAACATTCAAAACTCAAAATTGTGGTCAGCTGTGGGATTTCGGGAAAGTAGTCGAGTACGGTAGGCTACCTATTTGACATTGAAGAAATCAAGGGCAGGTGTGAGCCACACACTGAGGAAGACTGCGTGAGTTGCAGTCGAGGCGCAGAGCAGAGAGTTGTCACCAGTCAGTGCAAGTTGGATCGCTACATGAGGTGGGTGTGCATAGTTAAACCACTAGCGTATATAGTTAAACTACAAGCTATTTTGGCTTTTTTAACATCAGCACGGCTCGTTTCTGGTAGCCAAATTTATCTGAACAAAAAGAGCACTTACCTTCTTGAATATCTTATCACTGTACGATCCCTGTCGCCACAAATGGATAACATCAAAGGGGATGATGAACATTTTGCCGTTGTGTTTCTGTGCCAGAACCTCCAAATAGGCATGGATCACCTGATGGACCAGAGAGCAATGCAATAAAAATAATAATGAAGATCACTTCTATATGGCGCCCACTCCCGTGTAAGCACAGCTCTATGTGCTTCACATAAATGCATGTACGAACAATATTCACGCACGCGACACACACACGCACACACACACACAAACTAACACACACAATCACACACAGACTCACGCACACATTACACGCACACATGAGCACACACATGAACGTCAAACACACACACACACACATGCACGCCAAACACACACACACAATAAGTGTTCTCATTTCAGAAAACATTGGCAGAGTTTTAAATTGAGTTAGCCCCCCTCCCCCCACCCAAAGTTTTTTTTATAATTTTTAAAATATATC